GTTAGTGGTTCATTTTTAGACTTGTTTAAAGTTTTTCCTTTTTAAACATTTTCTAAACCAGTACATAACATTTTTTAAACTAGTACATATTTATGGAGTACCATGTGATGTTTTGATACATGAATACAATGTACAATGTTTCAATGAGTTTAAACTATCCGTCTCCTAAAATTTCTCCATGGTGAAAATATTCAAAATATTTTCTCACAACACACAGAACCGTGTCGTTATTATGGTCACCCTGCTGTGCAATGACACACCAGAACCTCATACTCTTATCTGACTACAACTTAGTACTGACTGACCATCCTCTCCCTGACTACCTCCTTGATTCTTTCTCGCCCCCGTTATGATCACTGAAATGTTTCTTTTCTTAACCTTTTCCACAGCTTAATTTGCTTAATAAGTGAAAAGCTTCACACCACACATATCACATATTTTAAACAATAGTTTCAGTGAATATAACATGAATTTCTATGATTAAGTAATGCTTTAATATCTTATGAAAACATGCAAAAATTACAATAGGTTTTTGTAATTTTTGAGATTTGTGGAAGTTCAAAAACTGGAGATTTCTGTTCTTAAAATTAATTTGGTTTTGGAAATGGTTATATCAAGTCATCTTAACTTGGAGAAACTGAGTTCTGGGCACCTCTCAAAGAAATAGGTGCATATTTGGAAACCATCTGATTGGTGTCCATAACTTCTTTGTTTTTTAAATTCCACATATACATACATCTTTTTCCTCCCATATGTTTTACAATAGGATATTTATAAAATGTAACTCAAGTTTGTCAAAGAGATCTTTTTCCAATTCTGTTCCTAGGAATTCAGTACTATTCTGGAATGCCAGAGGATTGAGGTTTGAGAAAATCCAGTAACTGTTTCTGGCATGATTATTGATTTCTTAATAATTTAATGGGAAATCAGCAAAGTTTCTGTAAATGGTTTTGCAAAGCAATAAGTATTTAAAAGTGAAAGCAAAACAATATACGACATCAGATGCCCCACAGTGATTGGCAGCTGTTGGCCTAGTTGTGTATGTGTGTAGAGGGAGTGCCTGTATGGTACTTACTATGTGTCTCAATAACAACTAGGAAAGAGCATTGGTTTGCTAATATATAGGAAATACCTACAGAGCCTTCATTCATYTGACTACTCTGAACATTCCTTCTCCCTAGGTAAGGACTATCCCATGTGCAATCATAAACACTCACATCATCCCAATAGGAGAGAGCACACATTCAAATTGTTTATTCAATCATAGAAAATACATTTATTTTTTCATCTTCTCACTTAAGGGTTCTTTGGTTTAAAATCTACAGGTATATCTTTTCTAGTTGTAATTCCATTGATTAAAATTCTAGGTTCTGATTATCACTATCCTGAAAGTAAGGACCCAAGTGATACTTTGATTGAAATAACTTTAACAAGACTATATACTCTGAATTTAGTACAGAAGCAAAAAATAAAATGGAGAAAAAAAAAACAACCATAATTTGAAAATAGATTAATCAGGAAAAACTTATAAATAGTACTATATTTTATCATAGACCTAAAATTATGTTTGTATATACACACACCCCTGTCTTTTTTTTTTTTTTTTTTTGAGAACCAGTGAATGATGTCTGCCAAGAAAGCAGCATGAAGCAAGCAGGGTCACGCCAAAAAAGAGGCCATGTGGGATGCAACCAACAAGGCCATAGGAATGAGGATGCCTAAGCCCTTTGTAGGACACATCTCACCATGACATGCCCTGAATGCCAGGCACAGAACTACTGAATATGTTTGCCCAGTTGGGTTTCAGTTTTATTTTGATCCCACCCTTTTATCTCTGGCCCTATTCTCCCTTTTGGAAAGGAAACATTTATTCTGTGTCAATGTCTATTGGATATATGTAACTCACTTTTGTTCTTTACAGGGTCTCACAGCTATGTGTTTTCCTTGAATCTCAGATGAGACTTTGGACTTGAACTACCATGCAATAATGGAACAGCTAAGACTATAGGAATACTGGAGATGGATTAAGTGCATTTTGCTTTGTGAGATAGACATGAAATTTGGAAGGACAGGAGAGAATGCTGTGGTTTGCATATGAGGTATCTCCTGAAAAGCTTACATGTTAAGCAATGCAGGAATATTCAGGGGTAATATTATTAGATTATGAGAGCTGTAATCTAATCAGTGGATTAATTCATTTGATGGATTAGTAATCTGAATGGATTATTGGGTGGCAACTAGGCACGTAGGCCATGGATGGAGGAAGTAGGTCATGGGAGTGTGGCTTTGAGGAATCATATGTTGTCCCTAGCTCCTCTCTCTGTCTGCTTCCCAGTTGCCATGAGCTGAGCAGCTTGCCTCTACCATACCCTTCACCATGATGTTCCTCCTCACCTCAGACACAGAACAATGCAGTCAGTCAACCATGGACTGAGTCTCTGAAACCATGTGCCCAAAATAAACTTTTTCTCATCTAAGTTGTTCTTGTCAGCATTTTTTGTCATAACAACAAAAAGTTGATTAACACACTGCTCAAGTCCTTCTAAGCAATAAAACTACACAGCCCAAAACAATAGGAGTAGGAAAAAAACAAGAGGGGTTTGAATGTATTGTTACATGTGAGATACACACACACACACACACACACACACACATATACGCACACATATATACATATATACACAAAAATTATATATACATATTAAAAACAAAAATATATATGCGTGAGTGTGTATAAGACAATTAGAATATTTAATAAGTAGCTCCTATAAAACACCAAAATATTTATACTGATGACTTTTCTAGCGAAAAAATACTTTATAATATCATTATATATTTCATTACTCAGTCACAGCACTGAGTTGATACAATAGAGAAATAAATGAGTGACATTGACTAAGCTATTCAGTTTAATTAATGTGTCATGAGGGATGTTTCACTCATAAATTTGAAAAATTAGCCACATTTAAACATGTTCTATGTGAATATGTTCTTATGACTTTCTTTGACAGTCTTTCATCCATTGCTTAATTTTAAAATATTACATTTGTATTTATTAAGGCCACTCAGAGCAAAATTATAGTTTTAGACATCTAAAATAATTGTTGAAGATAAACTTGGGGTATAATAAGATGGGATCGATATAGATGATTTATAATTTTCTCTTATAAAATGCCCGTGTGATATATAGAGCTAGGTCTGAACTTTTGAAATTAAACTTCTATCCCCAGAGGCAGGAAAAGAACTACAGAGATATAATTTTATCCTACCAATTATTTATCATATACACCTATACTTCATCCTTTTTCGACATAACACACAGAAGTAGACCAAATGCCTCCATAAACTCATAACATTTATTGACATAATTTTATATCCCTCAAACATTCTTATGATTTCAAGATCCAATACTAAATCCTTTCCAGATTTCATGTCTGAATCTGTCTATGAGGGCATTGCTGCAGTTAGCCGCAGAGCGTGAGTGTAAGGGGCAACACTCCTCAGGATCAAAGTTTCAGCAATGATTCATGAGAATAGGTATATAGATCCCTCAACCCACTAACTTTAGAGGTCAATAAGCTGTAGGATTCTGTTTTATATCATTTCCCCCACAAAATTAAATTTAGGGGCCATTTATAATACCTGACACCACAGTGGACACTTATTGGTTGTCTTCCCATTCTGATATCACTTTTCCACTTCTGAACCATTTCCAATGAAATTAATTGCACTTCCATGAGGGTTTTCATGTCAAAGGTTAGCTCTTAYGTTTATAAAATGTCACTTAACATTCTATATTTTTGTCAATTATCTAAAGTTACCATAAGAAGGAAATATTTGTTTAAAATTCTTTATTTTAGTTTCTTTTGAAAGTCTATTTCTTCATTATTCTAAGAGTCAAAAATAGGTTAGTCAATGTGCTGGAATAGATTAACAATGCCACAAGGAAATTATATTCAAACCAATAAAACTAAACAGGGTTCACAATATGGTACCATGAGTTAATGTCACACAGATTTAAGTTTTTCTAAAATGTTATTCATATGAACAAAAAAAATAGATGGGTAAGTGCAAAGAAAAAAAACTAGGTTTGGAAAAATAATAAATGTCTCTTCCTGGATATACTAGTTAAATATTTAAAGTCATGTATATACTATGCACAATTAAAATACTTAAAAGCAAAATAAGTAGCTCCTTTAAAACACCAAAATATTTACAGTGGTGACTTTTCTAATGAAAAAATACTTTGAAATATCATAATATTTCATTACTCAGTCACAACACTAATTTTTGGTGAAGGAAAGTTTTTTGGGGACTCACAGTTTCAGAGGTTTCAGTTCATAGACGGCCAACTCCATTGCTCTGTGCCCAAGGTGTGGCAGAACATCAGGGTGGGAGAGTGTGGTCAATGAAAGTTTCTCAAAACATGGCCACCAGGAAGCAGAAAGAAACTCTACTCACCAGGTATAAAATGTTGATGTACCTCCTCCAGACACATCCTACCTGCATAGTTACTGAGTCCCTATTAGAGGGTTAATAGACTGATTACATCAAGGCTCTCAGAACCCAATCATTTCACCTCTAAACTTTCTCCCTTTGTCTCACACATGAGCCTTTTGGCTCATTATCTAAACCATAGCACCTACATTCAATACTAAAAATGCATTAATTTGTATTCATTTTTTAAATTTTTTTTCTTGAATATGACATTTCATTTTCCTTGTAAAATACTGTGAAATGTACTGACCTTCATCCTATACCCAACAGAGAAGAAAAAGATGATAGTTACTACATAGGAGATACCCAGTAAATATAGTTGGATAGAGGCATGATTAAACAATTGAATGATTGCACTGCATTGAAAAGTATAAACCAAATTCAAGCATTGTATGGATATCAGATTAACAATGCCAGGATGCCAATAAATGGTGGCAGAGGAGTAACAAAGTGTTGGGTAACTTCCCTGGACAGTAGTAAAAGATTCAGCCATGAAAACTGGATTAGTCCACTTGCCTAAGAGGGTTCCTGTGTGCCACCCTTTGAAAGGCTTCCTTCACTTCCTTGTTTCTCAAAGTGTAGATAACAGGATTCAGAGCAGGTGTGACCACTGTGTACATGAGGGCAGTTGTCTTGTCTGTGTCTGGAGTGTGCGCACTCTTGGGTTGGAGATAAGTGAACAAGGCAGTGCCATAAAACAGAGAAACAACCAGGATGTGAGAGGAACACGTGGAGAAACCYCTGCRTCTGCCAGTTGCTGAAGGGATTCTCAAGATGGTTCCAAGAATGCACAGATAGGAGCACAGAATGAGGAGACAGGGACCCATAATAAAGAGCACAGAAATAGCAAACAACACAATCTCATTGTGGGAGGCATCAACACAAGCCAACTTCAGGACAGGCATGACATCACAAAAAAATGCTGAATCTCTCCTGTTCCACAGAAGGGCAGAGTGAAGATCCAGGTGATCTGAGCTGACTCCACCACCACCCCAGTGATCCAAGACACTGCAGCCAATTTCAAACAGACAGCAGGGCTCATCAGGAGAGTGTAACGTAGTGGGTGACAAATAGCCACAAAGCGGTCATAAGCCATGGCTGCTAGCAGACAGCATTCTGTCAGTCCGAAAATGGCAAATGCATACATCTGGGCTGCACAGCCTCCCACACTTATGGTCTTGGTCTCCACCAGCAGGTGCACCAGCATCTGAGGCACCACGCTGGTGATATAGCACATCTCCAAAATGGAGAGATTCACCAGGAAGAAATACATGGGGGTGTGCAGGAAAGGGGTGACCCAGATCAGGCAGATGATGAGGAGGTTTCCACACAGGGTAAATAAGTAGACAATTAGGAACACAACAAAGAGGACAGGTTGTAACTCTGCTAGAGAGGAAAAAGCCACAAATGTGAATTTAGTGCAGAGAGACTGGTTTCCACTCATTGTGGGCTCAGAGCCAGACATCTGTGAAAACAAAGAAGGCAGATAGTACTTAG